GGAGAGAGGGCGCTGAAACTACAAGCATTTCAAACCGTCTTGACGACGTCGTGCTCTTGTGATTATTTATCAACGCATCTCTCATCAAATCCTGGATGGTTGGAAGATTGGAAGGAACTAGTACGTAAACGTCGTAGTGCCACAGATGCACTAACATTACTAAAGCTGATGATATTTGGATACACAAAATTAACACACTTGTTGACTCACTTTCTAATATGGGCTCTGCTTCTATTAGGTAGTGCGTCTACAATTGCATCTAATTTTGTGCGTCTAAAATAGTTTTACCGTTGGGGCAAAAATGTGAATGCCTTCTTCTGGAACTGGATTCAGACCACCTGCAATCTTGCTGTTTGGATTTATTACTTCCCACTTGTATTTTATGACAATGTGATGGAGGCAAACACATAAGTCGGAGTTTAGTATATGTTGAGTCCAATTTTATTCTCTATGATCCATCACTCCAATCACTTGCTAATAAGGACAAAGCCTTATAAAGTGAAGGAACATTTTAGTAGTGACCAATGTAAGACAATGTAGAATGATATATCTACTAAAATTTTTCCAACAATATGGTTACAAACTGAATTGGGAGCATATGTAAATTTGATACCTCGTTATGATCGGCTCTTTCTATTGTTTAAGCTCCTAATTGCCATCCCCTTATGTTTTATAGTAGAATATTGTTGTATTAAAAATGAACCGTTGAAATATAATAAAATAGTTTTCATAATTTATTCTTTTAATTTCCAAGCTATGGTAGTTGTTGTTTGTGAAATATTGATATATAATTTATTCCTTCAATTTTCAACCTTTGCTAGTTCTTGTATTTCATATTTGGAGATGAGCTCTTTTTTTTTTCATTTGCAAATAATGTATTTTCATCATAAAAACTTTATAATTGGAATCATTATTTTCTTAGTTTCTATTTGAGGATTATCTCTACAAAAAAATCATCCGAATCGGATACCGTTTAATCATACAAATGTATCAAAATAAATCAACTGTGTAAGTAGCAAGTAACATATTCATCATGATGAGTCATTGATTTGTTTGATATTTGGATGACTAAAGGATTTCTGATTCAAATGATTTTTTACGGATTCCGTATGACTGAAAATCTAAAATTTTGGTTTGCTTGTTTTTGGGCTAGGTTTTTTGGTATTTGAGCTTTTGCCTTTCCTTAAAATGATTCAAAACTAGTGGAGTTCTATGAAATATATGTGTTTTTGTCTGTATAGGTTGTGCAAGAAATTGAAGCTAAGCTGGTAATTAAACTAGTAATTTGATTACAGAATGTTAGATAAAGCGGATTAGAAGTGCAATTCATTAACATTGCAACTTTTTCATCCTCCGTAAATGTGATTTATGACAAATAAGCGTAAGAAAAAAGAAAATAGGACATGGTTGATATTTTAAAATCGGATGGCAAGTCTTTATTATCATAATATTAGCATAGAATAGCTATGGAAAGGATTAATATAAAATACTTGCCTTGCATTGGACTTTAAAAGAAATGAAATTATAAGTGGTGGATTGTCTTTATGATTAGGGCTTGTTTTTTTAATTTACTATGCCTTGAGTTCAAACTTCAAACCCTCCTTCATACCAATTAGCGTACAATACTGTTCTCCATCCCTATTAGCGTACAATATTTATTGATTAAAAAAAAACGAAAGTTAGAGATCTGAGATCGAATGAATTGTAAGCATAAACAAACATGAAAGCATGTATTATTACTGATGCACTAACATTAGACGAAGGATGGTGATAATTGGACATATAATACTAACACACTGATCGACTCACTTTCTAATTCAGGTGAGATCCACATACAATGACAGGTTCCACTCTATTAGGAAGTGCGTCTAATTTTTGTGCGTCCAAATAGTTTACTGTTGGGGCAAATATGGTTGGATGCGAATGTGAATGCCTTCTTCTGGAACTGGATTCAAACCACCTGCAATCTTGCTGTTTGGATTTATTACTTCCCACTTGTATTTTGTGACAATGTGATGAAGGGAGCACATAAGTTGGAGTCTAGCATATTTCTTTTCCCGGGCAAATTCGAGGGCCGCTGCCAAATGGGATGTTAGAGTAAGTCGGAGGAGTTTTTCCATTCTCAAAACCTAGTCGGATCAAACTCTTCCGGATCCGGAAAGTATTCAGGGATTTTATTCGTGCTGCTTGCCGACCAAAACACCTAAAAAAGGGTAATCAACACAAACTAATTAAGACACACAAATTAAATGGTGAAGTAACTAGACTGTAATTATATTACTAATTAACTGATTGTTAAATACCTTCCACCCTTTTGGAATTGTGTAACCTTCATACGTGAATTCAGTAGCAACCTCCCTAAATGTTCCTTGGAGAGGTGGTACCAGCCTCATAACTTCAAGTGCCACACCCCAGGAATATTTCATCTTGTGTATATCTTCCCAGATCAGTGCCTCGCCAGACTTTTTTGAACTTGCGATCTCCAATTGTTCTAGAACAAGAACAAAAATTTTCATCATGCAATTAATATATATATACCAATTTCCAATTTAAAGAAGATCTCTATCAATTTTAATTAATTACCTGTACGAACTTTGTCACATATTTCAGGTCTTTCTCCAAGATATTTGAAGAGGAAACCTGTAACCATGGAAGGTGAGTGAAACGCAGCCACCATCGAACCCATAAATTTATCAGCAACTTCATTCTCCGATGAGAACCTTCCAGTGGGGTCCGGGTTAAATAGCATGAAAGACAAGATGTCGTGTGCGTTTGGACTCCACTGGCAGCAGCCGCTTTCTTCTCCTCAATCAACAACAAAACCTCCTTCCTCAATGCCTTCGCCGCCTTCATTGCTCGATGAAACGTGGTTCCGGGAATGTTGATGTGAATAGTATGCAGCCCTGAAGTGAGAACATCCATCAACTGGGCATACTTTTCCGTGCGCTCATTGTCATGCAGTCCAGTGAAGAAGCGAGCGGACAAACTCGTGTGACAAGTAGCTGAGCAAGTTTATATACCTCAACCGTGGTTTTGCCTTCCCAGTGAAGCTTCAAATGTTCTTGAACCAAAGAGTCCATAGTTTCTATGTACTTCACCAGAGCCTCGGGCTTCAAAAAGCCCGGGGCACGGTAGATTTGGATTACGTCTGCTTGCGGTACGATGGCTGTGGCAGCGGCTTTTAGGTAGGAAGAGCGGAAGAGCTTCTGCATGGATAGTGGTCGCCATGCAAGAAAAAGCTTTTCCTCGTTGGTGGCGATGAACTTGTGACCGGCAGTGCCGCATAAAACAACCATCCGCTCGCCGAATATGCTGGTTTTAAAGAGCTTTGTGGAGTGTTTTTTCATTCTTTCGCCCACAAAGTGTTGTTGCTGCTCTTTCATGAAGGCGATCGTTTCGCCAATGATTGGCCATCCGAAACTTCCCGGTGGAAGGTTGGTTTTGGAAGATTTGAATGCATAAATGATGAGAGCAAGAGCACTCAGTAATAACAACAATAATAATTGAGTCTCCATTCGAAGAGTAAGAATGTTGTTAGTTAAGAGAATGATTCTTATAGATTGTTGGTTGCTAAGTGCTAAGCTACCCTTTATATATATAGGCGCTGTATTTACCCATCTGTATGCACCAATTAATAATTAGTAATTCTAAAAAAAATACAAAAATGTTGTCTTGAAAGCAGGCACCGCTGCAACAGAAGAAAAGAAGGATCGATCAAATCCCGACGGACCGGTTATATACTTATTATAATAGATGTATATATAGATATATCTTATAATAAGTATAAGAGTTGAATGAATTTTTTTATTTATTTGTACTACATCTCTAATAAATATATGACTCGCATGTATTAGTGAGCCCTACATAGTACAAATATCTCTACTATACTAATAGAACTTTCATTATCAACCAAATCTCTATGAAATTACTACTCTAACCCTCTAATTAAAATTAAACAAAAATAAAAAATATGGGCAATTTAGTAATTTCAAAACTACAAATTTTACTTTTTTTTTTTTGGAACCTCACAACTAGGTAATAGTAACATATTCTATTTAAAAATTCAAAATTAAATTAAAAAATTGGCACACATTCATCTCTCTCATCAACTCTCTTCAGCTTCTCTTTACATCTTTCTTGCCAAAATCCTCCTCAACCGCTCTAACCACCCCACCTCCGTTACCCCCTTTCTCCCACCCCGCCTGCCTCTAACCCACTTGCAAATTATGTAGGCTCTTCCTCTCCTCCAACGGTCCAACCCTAATAGCCCTCTGCCAGACCCACCACCCAACAACTTCTCCGACATCCTCTGTGTTTTCCCCCATGACCCCTCTTTCATCGCCCCCTGCCTCTTTGACCCATGAATCCTAGACTGGAGCCCCTCCCACCATGAATGGGCATCCAATGTTCTGAAGGTATGAGCCTCATTATTTAGTTTCTGCATCTTATGCGAGGTTGGAGGAAGAAATTTTTAAGCATTAAAACTCCCTTGCAATATGTTTGATGTGTCGTTGAAATACATATATTAATCATGATTTATCACTCCTCAATTACTTATTTTATTGCATTCGATGGTTTTTACTTTGTTACATGGCTTGTTTTCATCCAAGTATAGTTCCACATTATACAACTTTTGGGAGATGTACTGAAGTTAGTGATGATTTTAGTGTTTTCATGCTATAATATCTTTACAAATTATTATAAAATTCTGAAAGTATTGCCTAACTCATAAGTTTGGTTTTATTTCACTAATGTTAGTAATTGTTTTCATAAGTTCATGTAACTCATACCACAGTGAAAAGATTTTTTTTTTTCTTCAGAATGACGTATACATTGCACATTGATAACTCATACCACAACAAAAAAAAATTGAGTTGCACACGTATAGCGTGTGTGCCGATTGCTAGTATAAATAGATGATAAGTGTAACACTACATCAAAAAAAAAAAAGTTATGTGTGCTCAAGTTAGTAGGAGAAGTGCCAAGGGCTAGGATTCTCTCCCTTCCTCTTTCCATCCATTTCCATCCCCTCCTCTCACATTTTCTATTTTGTCTTTCTCCTTCTATAAAAAATTAATATAAGATGTTGATATGGCTTAACCGTGACCATTCAAATAGGAGGAGAGAAAATCCTAGTACCTGTCACAAATGTCTACATTCTAACTCAAGTGTGCTATAGAGAATGCCAATAAGAAAAGGGTCCAGAATACCAGACTGTCGGACCTTTCCTTGGCACCAAGTATTTACCTGAAACACGAGTGTATGATTGTCAGAATTAGCTTGGCTCCTCAACAATTCACTATACGATGGATTTACAAATTTTTTTTGTTTATAATTGAAATTATTCATATTATAAATTAATTTGTAAAGATTATTTTTGCAAAAAAAAATATATATTGAAAATATAAAAAATGCTACTCTTACTACATTTGTACTATCTCTCTAATAAAAATGAGACTCATATATGTTGATGAACCATACTTTTATTAAAAGATAGTACAAATGTAGTATGAAAAATATGGTAAGTGTAGCTTGTACTCTTTAAATATGAGAGCGTTTTAGTTATCGAACTATACAAAAATAGGACGAATTCAATAAACAAATCATGAATTGTCTATAACTATGTTATAATTGATTGATTAAACAACCGTACTTCAGCCACTTAGTACTACGGTCTAGTGATATTCCTTTTCACTTGTAAGTGAGAGATTCTAGGTTTGATTTTCGCCAAAAGTGAATTTGAACCACATTATTACTAACTCATTATGAGGCTTAATCTACCTTTTTTTCATTAGCATAAATAATATCGTTTGTTAAAAAAACAACCGTACTTGATCAATTGATATTATTGACAGGCAGTACACATATTTGCAATAATTTATCAACAGACGTTGATATTAAAATTGACATGCAGTACACGCATTGGCAATAATTTATAAAAAGACCATTTGTTTTTCTAAAAAAAAAAAAAAACATTTGTCACTATCTTTGAGAATCGTCTAATGGAAGCACAATCTTGACTCTTGAGTTCCCCCAAATGCATGCGCTCCATCACATGTATCCATCACATGTATAACATGAAAAGGAAAAAGGTATATGATTGGCTTTTATTAATAGGTAATGTTGGGAAAATTGATTTTTAAATTTTTTATTTTTTATTTTTTTTAAATGAATCACTTTTTAAAATTAAATTTGATAAATTATATGACGTGATTATTGATAATTTAATTTTTAATTAATAACACATTATATAATTTACAAATTGAACTTCATCATCCATGCATAACGAATCTTCTCTTAGAAGACTTCTATGCCACTACGCTATAATACAAGTTGGACGTCAATTGTTGTAACACATGACGCAGGCAGCAGCAATGCTTAAAAATATGTCCAACATAAATAAACAGATAATAACAAAATATGGCTAATGCACATAATAAATACGGTTATAATAATTAGTTATAGTCTTTAAATAAGAAGTATTTTATTTAAATACCACAACTAATTCTTCTAACCATATCTTATTGTCACATCCCAACTCAACCATAGCATGATATTATCCGTTTTGGGTCAGACCCTCACGGATTTGTTCCTGGGCAAGAGAACCTCACTACCTAAAACGCATCATGCTAGGAAGAGAGGAGCATGTACATATAAGGTCAGGGACCAATCCCCACCCTGATGATGTGGGATACTACATTATTGTGTGAATTAGTCATATTTTGTTGTTATCTGTTTTTTGTTTGAAGTGATGTTAATATTTTTTATCCGTATTGAAGGAAAATATGATAATATTACAATATGTTTTCAATAATAATAATAATATTATTATTACAATACGGTGATAACCTTTTATATCCATATTCAAGTGTAAATAAAGTTTAATAAGCTCGATTGCCAATTATATCTTTTGCAGCTTCTGGACGGTGGCGTTATTCACTAAAAACAAATCCAATTATTTTTATAATTCAAATTAATAAAAAAATGTTTATTAAAATATAATAATATTTCTTTTTATTTATAATAGAGAAAATCTCAAGATCTGCTCAAATAGATAACGACGATCCGTATGTATATTTAATACCTCGTTATAAACGGCACTTTCTATTATTTAAGTCCTAATTCCAGCCCCCTTGTCTTTATCGTAGAATATTGTGTATTAAAAATGGAGGCAGATTCTCTGCTCTCTCATTTTCGATGTCTTCCCGTGACCTTCTGTTTTATGTGGTCACAGTTAAGCCACGTCAATATTTTAAATTATTTTTTATAGGAATAATAAGACAAAAATAAATAGTAATATAAAATGTTGACGTGAGTTAACCGTGATCAAAAAACAAAAGGGCACAGAAGGACACCGAAAGTGAGAGGGCATTCTCCATTAAAAATAACAACTGAAATATAATTTATTCCTTCATACCTAGGCAGCTGTTGTTTGTTGAATCTTGGAAAATAATACAATAGTTTCATAATTTATTCTTTCAATTTTCAACCAATGGTAGCCGTTGTTTGTTGAATATTGATATATAATTTATTCCTTCAATTTTCAACCTTCGCTAGTTCTTGTATTTCTTTTTTTTTTGGAGATGAGCTCATTCTTTTATTTGCAATTAAAGTATTTACACCATAAAAACTTTATAATTGGAATTGCTATTCTTTTAGTCTCCATTTGAGGATCATCTCTGTAAAAAATCATTCAAATCAGAGATCATTTAATCATCAAAATGCATCAAAATAAATCACCCATGTAGGTAACAAGTAGCATATTTATGATGAGCCATTGATTTGTTTGATATATTTGGATGACTAAAGGATATTTGATTCAAATGATTTTTAACGGATCTAAAATCAGTTTGAAGTTCTTATAGATGATGTTCGTTTGTAGTTTTGGCTTGGTTAAGTAACAAGTCTTTTTTTTTTCTTTTTTTTTTCAAAAAAAAAAAAAGGGGACCCGATTGTGGTTTCGCCTTAGCAGTCCACCCTTAATGGGCCGGGAAGACTCACAGAGGCATTTTATTCTCTTCTTGACCATCATCGTGCGATTCACTAATACCATGAATCAATCTCAGGACTTGCTGTGTGGAATACGAGCCTAAAATTCATCTCCAACTACTAAGCCACCTCATGATGGTTTGTTGGGGTATGGCTGAAATTCTAAATTTAGTTTGCTTGGTTTTGAGCTAGGTTTGTTGGGATTTGAACTTTTATCTCCCCTTGAAACGATTCAGCTAGTGAAGTTGTAAGATGTATAATGTGTTTTTGTCTCTATAGGTACCGTTGTGAGGGGGATTGAAACTAAGCTAGCAATTAAACTAGTAATTATGTGATAACAGAATATTAGATGTGCTCTAGATTAGTGGGAGAGGTGTCCCTGTCACAAATATCTAGACTCTAAAAGTTTGATTGTTGATGGCTACCTCAAGTGCGCTAGAGAATGCCAATAAGAGCATCTGCAGCAGTCCCTAATTTGCCTCGGAATTGAGTTGAACTGCCTTGTTGCCTAAAGAAAATGGATTTG